GGGAAGGAGTGCCAATTTAGGATGGTAATGCCACCAACTGGCACTGTTTTTAAGGTACCAGCAGGACCACTAACATCAGATGTAAAGATGTTTATTAGCCAACCTGGAAATGGCCCATTTAAAAATCCCCTTCCATACATTCACTGATTTACAGGCAAAGCACAGTAAGGTCAGGACATCACTCCTTTTGTACATGTTGAAGGCGAGTGTCCATTTGATCCAACACTGATTATTTGCCGCTAGCTTGGTAACAGGTATAGGGAAATTCTAAGAAAAATTAAGATGAGCTGGTTACACCTTTGCTGTATGCTGCAGAGGAGCCCTTCCAAAGCGATGGGGATGTGCATAGTGAGGGCCACGCAAAAGGGATCCCTTCCACCCTCCCTCCCTCTTGACAGCACAGCAGCAGATCACTCTGGTGGCAAGACTGAACTGCAGCAAAGTGCCAAGTGAACTAATGAATTTAGTTGGACATTGATGGGCTTTTGGGGCAGATAATGCATTAGTGGGAACTCCATGGCCTTAAATTAGTATCCATTTTAGACTTTGACCAGAAGGTACCTATGGCAAGTCCATTCTGCACATAGAGGAAGCACCAAGGACAGACTCTCCGGCTAGTTCGAAGCACATGGTCCTTGTAGTAGAGCACTCAGCCTTTAACCTGACAGATCAGGCAGTATATTGCATTTCTACAACCAGGCTCCCAGTATCTAGCACTTCCTAAAGAGTCTCGCACAAATACAATTAAGGAAGGTGTTCTCTTTGTACCTGTGCAGTTCCTTCAAAATTATAGCTGTTAAGCCACATTCTTAGTCTGTGCTAAGCCTCAGTTTAAACTAGACAGTAGAAAAAATGCTACAAATACTGTTATGGAGTCCAAGTCAGTCTCACTTGGAAAAGAGCAAAGCCCTATTTTAATGCCCTGCTGTTTTTACTGTTTATAATTAGATAAGCAATCTCAGACATGCACTTGGTCTGAATGGTTAATTTTGTGCTTAAAGAGAACATCCTTAAAAAAAAACAAAAGTCCAGCTAAATATTTTAACAAGATTGCATGTACAAAAGATTTACATTAAAACCACATAAAACTAACTTCATAATTAAGCTCATCAAAACCTGCATTAATATTCCAAATGATCACATCTAGATTTCTGAACCTTGTTTAAAACTGTACATTATTTTCTTGCAAAGGTAATATACATCTTTTTAAAAGATCAGTCTCTTGATTATTACAATAAGTTTAGTGTCTCTGGCGGATCAATGAGCGATACTCCATGGTACCTAGAGGAGGGGAGGAAAAACACACAGGCTGTAATCTCACTTAAGCGCTGTGTGCTGGAAAGAGCAGCACAGGCACTGCAGCAAAGAGCCTTTTGCTAACAGCAGGGCCAGCAAAAAACTCTGGAGCACGTCGGCCACTCGGGTTTCTAGGAGCATGAGGCAGCCTCCTGACTGCCAATTGCACAAGCATCAGGAAAATCACTGCACTTACCACAGCACAGCTAACGGCCTAGGCAGTGATAGCTGGTCTGTCAGTGAACATGAGCTACTGCTCCACAAAGCACCACATACAAATCTTGGGAGTCTTGTCACTCACAATGTCCATTTGGTTAGTTTAGTCTGACTTAAGACCCATCTCAAGCTGAAACCCCCAGAGCAGCAACTACACAGTAGGATAACTCACACTTAATACTAAATTTATCATACATGTCCACAGATACTTACTTTGTACTCTTGTATTTTTCCCTTATTGACTGTTGCGTGTGTTGTGCTGCTTTGAGGTAGGTCTTGTGTAGGTCCATGAGGCAAGGCTTAATGTTTTCAAGGGTGTAGCCTGTTACTTTGCACAAAGATTCAGGCTGAGAAAAAGAAAAGCAAGAGGAACATTTGGGCACATTTCCCTTGGGCATCAAGCAGTTTAATAACCACTGCTCAGAGTTTAGCAGTTCATTAATCCCAAAAACTAGCCTTTAGAGGCACAAACTAGAAATATTCCTCACCTCCAGTGGTCACTGCCTATCACAAGGAGGCTGCTAACAGCTTTCAGGGGAATCACAAGAGCAGAGCACATCAGGAGATGCTTCTCCCTTCCCAGAAGGGGTTCCCCCTCCCACCCCTCTCTTTCAGATACCACAGGGACAATCTGTAATAATAAACTCTTGGTGTGGGGGGGCTGTACTTCCAGCAGCCTGAGCCCTAAAAGGAGCCTTGGCCACACAATGCAGAACTGCATAAAATAGTTGTGAAGAGAATTGAAGACTCTGTTTCGGTGCTACATACCCACGTTTGTCCACTGATTGTGTAGCCTGCTAGATGAAATGCTGCAGCAGCAATAACTGATGGCAGGTATTTCAGGTAAGGATCAGCATCTATTAGACTCAGCTCCCCAAGATACTGCAAGAAGACAAGAGAATCATCTACTTTCAAAAGGAAGAATAAAAAAACAGCTTCACTTGGATACAACCGTAAGCTCCAAATCCTGCCCATTAGTGAAACAGCTTTTCCCAGTTAATTCCCTTAGTGAGATGGTCCCACGTTTTTGCTTTCCAGCAAATACTGATACTCTGCTCAAGACAAAGTTGAGACAGGTTAAAGCACTGGACACAGGTGCAGGAAGAAAATGAAAAAAATAAGGCCTGACAAATGGAACTGCCATTTGATTCTGGGTGTCCTTAATAGCAAAAAAAAACTGGAGACTACCCAAGAAACACTCCTCAGAGCATCCACGCTACCCACAGCCTAACACCGCTCGCACACGCGCTCTGCAGGCAGCACAGGTCTAGCCTTGGAGGCACACAAGGTCCAGGCATGCCTGACCTTTGCCTGGTGAGACTGCTGCTTCCCTTTAGCATCTCCAGCACCTGCTGCATGCCTGGAGTTTATGATAACGTCAGACTAGATCCAGAACAAGTCCAAGATGTTCACTGTTCATACTCTGTTCAAGAAACTAGCTTCTAGACTTGTAGCTTGATAATCGTATCCTTTCCAGACAAACTGAACCCTGGTAGACAAGTCCACCTAGACAAGATACTAGCTATTCAAGGTGCAGGTTTCTGGTAATTGATGACAACTATGCATTGATCCCTATACAATTTTAACATGGAAACTTAAGGAACAATGTGCCTTTTGGCGGGGAGAACACATTAATTTTAGATAGGAAAGTATCAGGGGAAGCAACCAGCCCTGAAACAGACCCAGAATTTATCAGTCTCAGCCTGCTCTGAGCAAGCACTCATGCTTGAGCCAACTCAAATAGCAGACAACAAGGCTGTTTGAGATGCTAAGTAGCCAACAAAAGGGTTGCTCTCCAGAGGCGGAGCAACACCCCAGAGGGACACAGGGGGCACCAGCTGTGCTCCCCAGGCCTCTCCCAAAGAGGGACCTTAGTGATTTAACAGAGGCTGAGACAGGAAAGCCTGCCCTGAAATACCTTGCACCGGTTTTCTATTGGTAAAAGGAAACAGAGCTTGCAAGGTGCACTAATAACTGCCCCGTTACACAGATTCAGCTATTAATTCTTACTTACCATGGATAAGCTCTCAACTTTTGCGCTTGTCTGTTCGTGCAGGAAATACTGGGTAAGGAACTGGTTGATCGTTGGAGCTGCCAAGTCAAATGATAAAACTTTCAAAATTAAGTGCTCCATCCTTAGAACTTGCTTCTTGGTGTAGGTGTCATCTGTGATGTAGACAAACTCTGCGACCTCAGGCGGGTAGATTTCTTCAAACTTTCTGCAGTAAAGAGTAGTTATGAGCAAGTTGTTGCATAGCAGAGGACCAGGTTAAGTGGCAACACTTAATGAAAAGCAGAAAAGTACAAGTTCTGGCTTGTGGAGTAGCTGCATCCTGTTACTCAAGTTTGCTGCCTCCAGTCCCCTAGGTCCTGGATCAGCATAACTTTGAAGTTAGAGACTTAATAGCGTTACTGTTAAGTAATTTGGGACTCAGGAGTTACTGAAGTTCCTGAAAACACAGTAGACTAACAGTTGTGAGCAAGAATTGCTTTGCACATACATCCCCAAATACATCCCAAAAGCTTTTTGCTGCTGCAGCTGCAAATAATGACTCCTCACACTAGGCCTCTCCACAAACATAGCTAGTTCCTTGTTTGCAGCATTCGACCTAAGCTACCAAGCTCTTCAGGGGATAACTACGGCTTCCTACCTAGTGCAAAACCACCCCAGTCAGTCAGATTACACAGAACAGAATGTGAGCACCACAAGAGAAGATTTCCAGACACACGAGACCAGCAAGTGGAATTTCCCGTTAACCAGCTCCACTTACGATGCAAGCAGCATGGCTGCGGTACCCACGAGCTGGAGCTTTCCTCGCAGGACAGACATGGAAGACAGAAACCTATCAATGTAGTTGACAGCTAAGTGCAGGGTTTCGTTCTGTAGCTTGTATTCCTCGCCGACCTCCACCAGCCAGTCCACAAGAATGGCCCGCATGTTGTTGGTGATGTCGGGCTGCTTCTTCATATAGCCCATTTTGGGCTTGCACTTCACCTGGGGGATGCGCAACACACAAGGTTTAGCTTGTGCAGGGCGGCTGGGGAGGCACTGGCCGCCCTCCTTAGGGGGTGCTGAGCAGCGCAGGGGGCCCTGCCTGGGCGCCCTCCTACCTCCATCTCCCGCAGGTAGCCATGGATGTCGCCCGCGTAGTCGGGCACATTGTTCACGTTGGGGCTCGTCTCCTCGGCCTCGGAGGAGATGGAGACGTCCATGATGCTCGGCGAGTCTGGCGGGAGAGAGCAGTTCCCTCAGCAGCCCCGCCGCCAGGCC